ATCAGTGATGTTGAGCATGTTTTCATATGTCTGTTGTCCATCTGTATATCTTCTTTGGAAAAATGTTTATTCATGTCTTCTGCCCATTTTTAATTGCATTGTTTGTTCTTGGGGTGTTGAGTTTTATAAGTTCTTTATAGTTTTCAGATACTAACCCTTTATCAGATATGTCATTTGCAAATATCTTCTGTCATTCTGTAGGTTGCCTTTTTAGTTTTGTTGATTGTTTCCTTTGCTGTTCAGAAAATTTTTATTTTGATGAAGTCCCAGTGGTTTATTTTTGCTTTTGTTTCCCTTGCTTCAGGAGACATATCTAGAAAGAAGTTGTTACAGCTTATGTCAAAGAGGTTATCACCTGTGTTCTCTTCTAGGATTTTTATGGTTTCAAGTCTCACATTTAGGTCTTTAATCCACATTAAATTTATTTGTGTATTTGGTGTAAGAAAGTGGTCCAGTTTCATTCATTTTCATGTTGCTGTCCAACTTTCCCAACACTGTTTGCTGAAGAGACTGTCTTTTTCCCATTGGGTATTCTTTCCTGCTTAGTTGAAGATTAATTGACCATATAGTTGTAGATTCGTTTCTGGGTTTTCTATTCTGTTCCTTTGATCTGTGTGTCTATTTTTGTGCCAGTAACATACAGTTTTGGTCACTACAAGTTTGTAATATAACTTGAAGTCTGGAATTGTGAGGCCTCCAGCTTTGCTTTGCTTTTCAAGGTTGCTTTGGCTATTCGGGGTCTTTTGTGGTTCCGTATAAATTTTAGGATTGTTTGTTCTATCTCTGCGAAAAATACTGTTGATATTTTGATAGGGGTTGCATTAAATATGCAGATTGCTTTGGATAGTATAGACATTTTAACAATATTTGTTCTTCCAATCCAAGAACATGGAATGTTTTTCCATTTGTTTGTGTCATCTTCAATTTCTTCATCAGTGTTTTATAGTTTTCAGAGTACAGGTCTTTCATCTCTTTGATTAGGCTTATTCCTAGGTATCTTACTGTTTTGGGTGCAATTATAAATGGGATTGATTCTTTCATTTCTCTTTCTGCTGCTTCATTATTGGTGTATAGAAATGCAACAGATTTCTGTACATTGATTTTTTTATCTTGCAACTTTACTGAATTCATTTAGGAATTCTAGCAGTTTTTTGGTGGAGTCTTTCCAGTTCTCAGTGGCTTTTTTTCAACTCTTTTTTTGTTTGTTTTTTATTTTAATATTCTTTTTTTATTTCATTTTATTATGTTATGTTAATCACCATACATTACATCATTAGTTTTTGATGTAGTGTTTCATGATTCATTGTTTGTGTATAGAACCCAGTGCTCCATTCAATATGTGCCGTCTTTAATACCCATCACCAGGCTAACCCATTCCCCTACCCCCCTCCCCTCTAGAACCCTCAGTTTGTTTCTCAGAGTCCATAATCTCTCATGGTTCGTCTCCCCCCCCCCCCCCCCGATTTCCCCCCACTTCATTTTTCCCTTCCTACTATCTTTTTTTTTTAACATATAATGTATTATTTGTTTCAGAGGTACAAGTCTGTGATTCATCAGTCTTACACAATTCATAGCGCTCACCATAGCACATACCCTCCCCAGTGTCTATCATCCAGCCACCCCATCCCTCCCACCCCCCACCACTCCAGCAACCCTCAGTTTGTTTCCTGAGATTAAGAATTCCTCATATCAGTGAGATCGTATGATACATGTCTTTCTCTGATTGACTTATTTCGCTTAGCATAATACCCTCTAGTTCCATCCACATCATTGCAAATGGCAAGATTTCGGGGTTTTTTGATGGCTGCATAATATTCCAGTGTGTGTGTGTGTGTGTGTGTGTGTGTGTATATATATATATATATATATATATATATATATATATATATATACATATTTATACCACGTCTTCTTTATCCATTCATCTGTTGATGGACATTTGGCTCTTCCCATAGTTTGGCTGTTGTGGACATTGCACTATAAACATTGTGGTGCACATACAGCTTCAGATCACTACATTTGTATCTTTGGGGTAAATACCCAGTAGTGCAATTGCTGGGTCGTAGGGTAGCTCTATTTTCAACTTTTTGAGGAACCTCCATACTGTTTTCCAGAGTGGCTGCACCAGCTTGCCTTCCCACCAACAGTGTAGGAGGGTTCCCCTTTCTCCGCATCCTTGCCAACATCTCTCGTTTCCTGACTTGTTAATTTTAGCCATTCTGACTAGTGTGAGGTGGTATCTCATTGAGTGTCTGTTGGCCATTTGGATGTCGTCTTTGGAAAAATGTCTATTCATGTCATGTATTTTTTTCAACTCTTATCCTACTTATCTTCTCTCCATAGTTGATATTCTTTCACATCTCCTTGAAAGTTTCTTCTCTTTTCCCTTCCCATATATTCATTCAGTCTTGATTTTCCTCTTATGTGTCTAACAATTTCTTAAAGATATGAAAAGTAAATAATTTATCTTCCAAACTGAAATACTTTTGAAGTGAAAAGATGTGCTATATAATAACTGAGCCAGTATGGTGTGCCTGGGTGGCTCAGTCGTTAAGAGTCTGCCTTCGGCTCCGGTCATGATCCCAGGGTCCTGGGATTGAGGCCTGTGTCAGGCTCCCCACATCAGGCTGTCTGCTCGGCGGGAAGCCTGCTTCTCCCTCTCCCACCCCTCCTGCTTGTGTTCCCTCTCTCGCTGTCTCTCTCTCTGTCAAATAAATAAATAAAATTTTAAAAAAAAATTGAGCCAGTATGATAGATATAAATCCTGATTGTTCAAAAAAGGAAAAATAGGATGTACTGTTATTTCATTTACAGATTGTTTTTCCCCTTGATTTTTTCTTCTGTTAAGCCTGTAATATGGATCTCCCCTAGAATTATCAACCATCATCTTTTGTTCTTTTACATACTGTCCTTGGATGATCTGAAATATATGCATGACTGAAACTGTCACCTCCATTGATAATTCCCAAAGTATATACCCAACCCCTAACATTTTCCTGAGCTCCAGACTCATATTTCTAAAAGCTCATTTGGTATCTCCAGACTATTAAACCCAAAGAATGTACTTCAAATTTAAACTCATCTTTCCCCTGAAATATCCTGCTGTCCTGTTTACATTCATACACACAGAGAGAGCGAGAGAGAGAGATGGGTAGTATATGTACACATGTGTTTGTTAGTCTGGAAATCTATATATCTTACATACATACTACTTTGTGCATGTGCTTTCTTAGGTACTGGACATAAAATAGTAGCAAAAGCATGGCTTCATCATGACAAGGCATTCTAGTATGGGACATAGACATTGATCAAACTATAACAGATATAAATGTAGTATAACTGTGGAAATTACTATGAAGTAGAGGAGCATGGTGTCATGTGAAGTATAATAGGAGATTTCTTTGACTTTTTTTCTAATACATGGCCTTTTTTGCTAGACATTAATGGCAACATATAGCTCTTTTAAATCAGACTATCTACTTCTGTTTCCTTAACTTATTTATCACAGTTCAGTACTCAAATGAACTAGCAGGTAGAGCAGTTTTTCATCTCAGAATTCCCGTTGCTTTTCACCCTAGTTATGAGAACATTATTTATAAGTCATATAAATTAACTAATGATAAATGATAGCAATACCATTGGTAATGAGGATATTGGTATGGAAACTAAATAAAAGAGCTTCTATGGAAATTTGTGAGAAACAGATGATGCATAAGATCAGGAGCACCTTTCTAATCATAAAGTCTGGTTGCTGCTTCCTTGTTTTCACATGGTTAGAGATATTTACTGATCGAATGTTAATTGCTTATCTTTTTATCATATGTATGTCCCCTCTGTGCTCAAAACTTGAAAGTGGTCAAGTTCTCATTTTGAGATCAGAAAACCTAAACCCATTAGTATTAGCCCAGAACAGGAACTAAATTATGCATAGCCCAAAATAATAATTTTATAATCAACATAAATAATAATTTTTATAATGAATAATCCACATTATTTGTCCTTATGTTTGTATATTTTTAGAATGGTGATATTCAATTACATCAGTTTTTACCATGTTGATAGGTATAACATAATAAGATCAATAATAATAGTCAATATTTATTTAGTACTACTTTGTAGTGCTAGATAATTTATATGCATTATCTTATTTAATCCTCAACAGTAATCTGGTGAGGTAGATGCTGTCATTATTCATTTTTTTAGATAAAGGAAATGGTGATTTAAAAAGCAAAGCCATCAGTGTCCCCACAGAAGTCATAGCATAGTTATATGGGATAATTGTGAAGAGTTTAATAAGGAACTATAGTGTGTTTACAAAGGTTTGGGCAGATTTTAGGGAAAGCAAAAAACACAGTGCAGTGCCCTGAGACTAGTAATACTGGGAACCATCAATATCCCTAGTCCTAATGGGGCAAAGGGAGGGAACTGCTACTGGAATCCAGAAAAGAGCCGTAAGCTCCTGTCAGATGACCAGGGGCTGTGACTTAGCCAACCTGTGGTAACCTGGTGGAGAAGGACACAAGGGAATAAAGATCAGACCTTACTCTCCTCTAACCTTTCAGTTTCCTGGCACTAGCTGAACCCAACTAGAAACTAGAGAGCACAGAATAGCTTGTTGATTCTATCTATACAGGTCAGCTTAGAGCCAAGAGGATAAAGTGTGGAGGAAGGAAAATGGAAAATATCTAGGAATTAAATAATTATTAAATAGCAGAGCCAGTATATGAATGCCGAACATTTTACTCCTTAACTGCAATGCTAGACTGCCTCTCATTAAAAAAGTTTCATGCAATATTATTTGGTAAGAGAAAATATTTTAAAACTGAAGGTTCCTATCCTATCCCAAATTGTTGGATGCATTTATACCTAACAGTGAGTGAGACCAAATATATGAGAGCTAGGCAGCAAAGAATGCCATTTAAAAAAAAAAAAAGGTGCGAGCATTGATTTTAATGTTGGTATTTTCAGAATATTAAACCATTCTTGTTTTTCTTGTTCAGATTCCAGACTCCATCATTTCTCGTGGCGTTCAGGTGCTCCCACGAGACACAGCCTCCCTCAGCACTACTCCTTCAGAATCGCCTCGTGCTCAGGCTACATCTCGCCTTTCTACAGCTTCCTGCCCAACACCAAAAGTAAGTACAGTTCCTTGGCACCTTAAATTTGTTCTACTGTACGAGTCTGGGAAATTTAACCAATATTTCCCTCTGCTTGTCAAGGTTGGATTGCATGCAAGATAATGCAATGAAAAATGAATGGATTATAAAATAATTGACACTTACTGTTTCACAGATTGTCAAATTAGGCCAACAGTAGGACAATAGAAATTTCATGTAAAATGTCTACTCCTACATCACAGCTATAGGTATTACTTTCTGTAGCTCCCTGTTTCTTTGTTTTAGACTTGTTATTTTTTAGCTACTCATCAGTATAGATGTGAAGTTATTTGTTTATGCAAAGGATGAATGCATTTCTGGCCAATAAAAAATAAGATTAACAAAATAAAAAAATGTCACCAAAAGAATTTTTTTTTAGCTTGTCCAGGCTGGGGTAGCTCCCTGCTCTAGTATCATTCCAAATTTTTTCAAACATATTCAACTTGGAATGTTGCTGCCTAGTATTTGGAAACAAATCTAAATTGATTAGAAAGAAAGTTTTAATGCCAACCTTTGGGGGAGGAAGGAAGTTTTTTAGTATTTATTTCTTATAATTTTTCCCAAGTACTGAATCATATGTGGGAGGAAAAAAGGATTAGACATTTATTTGCTGCCTCATATCTTCATGTATATGATAAATTAAGTAGCAGACTTAATAATGGCTGTAACTGCTTTCTTCTGGAATGTCCCTTTTCTGGTTAAGTTAGTCATTTGTGCTTTCAAGTTTTCTATATGATGGATCCAACATTGGCCTCAAAAGATTAACAGTAACATTCCTTCTTATTTAATAAGATATGGTATTAGATATCAGCTGTACACTAAATTTATTCAGGGGATCTGCAGGTAATTTTTCAAACTATGGCTTCTTCTCTGTCATCAAATTTACAACTTATTTGGCTGTCTTCCTCAATTTTCATGAGTTTTAGAATGTTAAAACTGGACTTAACTTAGAAGTTAATCCCAAGCAGTTCTTCATATGTGTAGTACAGTTGCTTTTACATACCGTGGTACAACCTTCTCAGGAAAGTCCTCACAGTGTTACTGTTGTATATCATCACTTTTGGATTTGTGTCAAATATAACCAATATTAATTTTATAGTTTAAAAAAATTATGGTTCTAAATCTTCAATGAAGAAAAACTGTAAGAATATTCTAGACAAAATATATGTTAATGCCATTCAGGTGCCATTCAGCTGTATCTTCAACTGAATGAAAACATGGAGTTCTAAGACTTGAATTGGTTAGAAGAATCTTATTCATGTCTTTAAGATTTTTAAAACAAAAGAATTTATTGTTTACATTAAATCCCAACTATACAAGCTATACTCATTTCTGAAGTCTGGGAAATAAAGCTAAAAGTTTAGTCCACTATAAATGTTTAATCATTCACCAAATATTAAGACCCAAATGTTAGGAATGTGGAACTATTCAAGGTGCAGTATTCTTTTCCTTAATAATATACTGTGAACATAAATATCTAAGCTAAATTTAATTAAACATAGTAGATCTTGAGCCTTTTTAAAACTTTGTAATTACATTCTAATTACAAAAGGAATATTAAAAGCAATTCTAAAATAACTTGGCATTCCAAATTTACTAAAGTGAAATCCTAAAAATAAAAATATTAACATCTATTAAGTTAATTTGCTCATTACGAAACTTTAGGAGAACAAATAGCTTGTCTTAATATTTTTTCCTTAGTTACCACTTCGGCATTCAAAATAACAATGAATTCAAATAAAGCAGTGTATTTGGATACCTTTTTTTTTCCCCTAGGATTTTTTTTCTTTATTTTTACCTAGGAATAAGGTTCTTTTCCTTTTAGATAATTTTTACCGGCACCAGAATATATACCTCAAAGATAAAATTAGTACTTCAGTGTAATTTTAAAATTAAACTTCTAAGGCTGAACCAGAATACTAATGTAATAAAAAACTAGTTTGAATATTGATTTTTTTAGAAGGAGTGAAGAAAGTCAAATTAGTCTATTGAAAGTCTCAAATTATAAAACTGCTTAATTAAACCTAAACTTAATATTCTTATATGTGCTTTTATATCAGTGACAGATATAATCTCTGCCCTCATGGAGTTTACAGTTTAGTTGATGGTATATTAAAATAAATAGGTAGATAAACATAAATTATTCTAATAATTATAATTTTACCATAACTTAATTATAAATTGAGATTCATGCTAAGCAGAAATGAACAAGTTATACTGATAGAAAATAGGAGGGAAACCTTACTTAGGTAGGATTATCAGAGAAGTCCTCTCTAAGGAGAACATTTCACCTGGGATATGAAGGATGAATAAAAAACAAAAGCTTTGGGCGCCTGGGTGGCTCAGTCGTTAAGCGTCTGCCTTCGGCTCAGGTCATGATCCCAGGGTCCTGGGATCGAGTCCCACATCGGGCTCCTTGCTCTGCGGGAAGCCTGCTTCTCCCTCTCCCACTCCCCCTGCTTGTGTCCTGCTCTCGCTATGTCTCTCTCTGTCAAATAAATAAATAAAATCTTAAAAAAAAAAAAAAGACTTTATTTAAAAAAAAAACAAAAAAAAAAACAAAAGCTTTTCTGTTGGGTGGAGGTTTTGAGAATTATATTCAGCAATAATGACCACTTTAAACACAGCTGTCACCAACCAGTTATCAACAGTCAAGAACTCTCAGACTAAAAACTTCATTACTACATGAAAAGTCTAATTCAGTGACTTTATAATCCAACTTCAGATATTACTTCCTTTTTATTTTAAATATATTTTTTTGCCTTTCCCTACTAAGTCAGATTGCAAGGCTATAGGTTTTAGCACTTAAATCTATTATAGATGAATTGTTTATTTTAATTTTGTAGCATAAAAATGTAGGGCAGAAAAGTTAGAATGCCAGGCTTCTAATTTGAGATATGGGTAAAGGGTGATATTATTAACTATATTAAGGAATAATAAGAGAAGAAACTCATTTTAGGGTAAGAGAAAGGAGTTAATACATTTTGGTTTTGAATGTATTCAATCTGAGATACGTATGAGACATCCTAGGAATGATATGCTGCATAAAATCATAACAGTAGTGAGTTTGATATTGTTACTGTTACTGCATCTTGGTGCTGATATTTATAATTTAGTACCTAATAGTGTCAGCCAAACCCCACAGAGGTCCCTCTTTTACCTTTCAGATTAGACATGCAGTCTGTCATATGCAGAAATATATGTGCAAATGTATTTTCTTTTCATCAGAAATACAATATGGTCTTGAATGGTCATCAGTAGAAAGAACACTTGACTTGATAATAGAAGACATGGATTCAATGCTGGCTTCTCTGCTTAATAACCACACTAACTTAAGCAAGTTGCTCAACTTTTCTGAGCTTCGTGTCTGTAAAGAAATGCAGTCCTTGCCTCTCCAACAGGGTTATTGATTTATTAAATAGTCTTTGCCTCGTGCTGGGGAAGCAGTGTGAGTAGTAGACATTGTTCTTGCCATTACAAACAGACAAAATAGGCAACTACAAATTACAGTAAAGTATAAGTGCCATGATTTATCACCAAGAGTACAGAATACTCTGGGAATAACCATCAGAAGTACTTTCCCTCTGTAGCTTTTTATCAACTGGGCAGTATTTAAGCTAAAAGACTTCCTGTTCTTTTACCTCTGTGCCTCTATTTTTTTTAAGTCAACAACTATAATATTAAACATTATTTTGGGTTCACATTTTATATGTTTACTACAATGTAATATCCTAGATTGTCCTTTTACTCTTTAAGATTACCAGCTATAGTGAGAACAAGATCTATAAAATACACCATTTGGATTTCCTTTTTAATATGCAATCTAATGAAGACAACCAACTTTTCTAAACAATCTATTAAATGGCATTGTCTCCAACAATATTTATTTGTTGTGCCGAAATGATGTAATATTTTATTGTATGTGGGAAAAAAATCTTTTCTCTTTTTACCAGTTATTTTCTTTTAATGAAACCTGACTGAAATGACAGATGATTTTCACTCCACTTGCTTTATGAAACTGTGAAGTATCTTTGAAGAAAAACTTGGAATTTTAATCTTATGTTGCCCTAAGTAAAAGAGTGGCTTAGCCAAAAAAGTCAAATAGTATGTAGATTCCATTTAAATAATAGTGAGCAATATCTAGAAGACTCAGATTCTAACACGGTGATAATATCCCAAAAATTGTTTGCTAAAAGAATAATTCTATAACAGATAAATTATCGTATAAAGTGAGCATGATTCACAACTTAAATGAATGTTGATTTTTCAATTATAAAAGGTAGCAGCATCTCTATTTGAAATCAAGAGGCATGGGTAGAGAATAATGACCAGAGCAAAAAAGAAAAAAAAAAACTTTCAATCAATTCACCATTCCCAGTAGATGTTGTTAAAATAGGGAATAATTTTTAAGACCAATTTAATTATCTTTTGATTCATTAAGCATCTAGTTTGGCTTAAAAACTAAATGTAGTCTATTGTCACATATTCTCTGTACCTTAAAGATTAGAATAGAATTGTACCCAGATTAACCAGCAAGTTATTTTTTTTCGTTAGGAAGAAAATATAAATACTATCTATATAAAACTAAAGGTTATGGAATTATTAAAAACTGTATGTACGGAAATATCTTAATATGAAGGGTATGTTAATTAATACACTAATGTCTAATCTTAATTCAAACAAAATGCAGAATTATGACTTCACTCTAGGTTTCTATTATTTTCCTTTGAGAAAATGAATTTAGATTACTCTGGATAAAGAATAAATGATTGTCACAGTTTTTAATGTGTATGTCTGAAAAGCGGTGTGATTTTCTTTATGTATTCCCTTGAGATTTTTTCCTAGTCATGTTAGTTTGTACAAACTATTGCACAGTGTCACCATTTTCCTTTGTGAACACCAGAGTGATTATGTGTATGGTTAGTTTCATTGGTTCTAAACCTGAGGCTCCCAAGTCTCTGGAGAATCTTATGAAGTTG